CTTACTTTGATTGTGGTTGGAACTACTTGGCTTTATGGGCTTTTTTCATGCTACTTCCAAAAAGTTTGCTTAGCATTGTTGTGGTCCAATCTAGCTGTGAAATTAATAATATTGCCTATAAACAAAGAAAATAGGTTCCTTCTTCAGAAAAAAAAAAATAAATTAATTAAATAAACGAAGGTACCGACATTTCTAAGAACACTGTTACACTGGCCTATTGTGGGAGTAAATTAAAAGTTGATTTTTAAAAAAAAAAATTAGTTTTTTATTTTATTTTAAATATATTAAAAAAAATGATATGATAAAAAAAAAATAATCAAAAGTTCAATAAATTAACTTCTAACCTTGTTTCCAAAATAGGCTAGTCTGATTTTATAGTAAGAAACAACAATTCAAATTGGCCGGTTTTCAATGTGAGATTTTATAATTATAATGGGCCCACATATTCATATATTCTTCTAATACAGTGATACCACGTCATCAAGGCTAAAATTTGGACTGTGGTCCCATTTGAGAATTATTTTTAACTTTATACCCAAAAAATATATATATGTAAAAAATAAAAAAATAATATAATAATATATTATAACTTTTTAATTTTTTAGTTACAAAACAAACTTATTAAAGGCGGCCATGTATCATATATTATTTTCCTTTGTTATAATAAAATGCAAGTCGAGCCCAACTCATGCACACCACTACCGGACCGAGTACTTGAAGATGTCCTGTTGGTATGCGTAGGCAGTGTTTGGTTTAGTTGTGGAATCACAATTTCAATAAAAAAAAATTTGGGCAAATTATAAATACTCCTCTCGAAATTTGGTGAAAATACAAATTTTTTCTTGAAGTTTGAGAAATTACATCCCACCCCTTGAGGTTTATATTTCTATAACAAATTGCCCCCTGAGGTTTTTATTTTCATATAGATTCCCCCCTAATTTCTCCTAATTTGTTATGAAAATTTGACCCTCAGGGGGCAATTTGTAATTTCTCAAACCTCATGGGAGAATTTGTATTTTTACCAAACCTCGAGGGGTTGTTTGTAATTTGTCCAAAAAATTCAAAATTTATAATTAAATATCAATTTAAAACTCAATTCATTTTTTTTTTTAAAACTCAAAACTAAATACATAACTCAAAACTATTTTTTTTTAAAAAAATTTAAAAATATTTTTTTATTTTGTGTTTTAAAATTATTTTTAGAATCCTGTTTTGAGTGTGAAATTGTGTTTTGAGTTACGAGTTTTCACAAAATTTTGAAAAAGAAAATTTATTTGGTTATGAATTATGAAAAGAGTTTTGAGATATATTTTGAAATTATTTGTAATTATTATTTTTAAATATTTAAAAATTTTCTTAATTTAAATTTTTTAGGGTAAATATTTTATATTGCAAATATTTATTTATTTATTTTAATATGCATTTTATTTAATATATTTGTGAGTTATATTTTTTTATATATTTAAAATTTTATTTTAAATATATAATTTTTATTTTAAATATTTTTATTTTTTATTTCAAATATTTTTTTGTTTTTTAAATATTTAAAAAAAATTGAATATTTTTTATTTTTTTAAATATTTTTTTGAAAAAAAAAAGTAAAAAAAAAATTCTTTAAAAAATAAAAATATATGTATTTTTTCAAAAAAAAATTTAAGGAACAAAATAAAAAAAAAGATTTAATTTTTTTTAAAATAGAATTTTGAAAAAAATTGGTTATGAATTTTAGAAAAAAAAATTAAATTAAGTTTTAAAAATGTAAAATATTTGTGAAAAAATATTTTAAAAATTAATAAATACACAAAAATATGAAAAATATACTGAATTTTCATATATATATATATATATTAATATTTTTGGTATTTAGTGATTTTTTAAAAAAACAATTTCATGAAAATTATACTTTTTAAGTGTATTTATGTTAGGTGTTTCTAAAAATTAAAAAAATTACTTAAAATATTAAAAAAATTATTAAAACCAAAAAAATACAAAAAATAAGAAAGTAGAATTTTCTGAAAAATGTTTTCAAAAAACTGAAAACAAACATGGTTATTTTTTTTGAATTTTTTTAATAGAATTTTGAAAAGAGTTTTAAAAAGAGTTTTTGAATTGAGTTTTGATTTATGTGTTTGATTATGGGTTTTGAAAATAGTTTTTGAATTGAACTTTGAGTTATGTATTTGGTTATGATTTTGAGTGTAGAGAGAGTTGTGTTTTACGTTAAAAATATTAAAATATTTAAAAAATAAAATAAAATAATTAAAAAATATTTTAATAAAAATTATATATTTAAAATAAAAATTAAAAATTTCTTAAACATTTTTAAATATTTAAAAAAAATAAATCTAAAAAATTTCAAAATATAACTCAAAATTCAAAAGCTCAAAACTCAAAACTAAAAACTAAAATTACAACTCAAAACTCTTTTCAAAACTATTAACTAAACAAATTTTCTCTTTTCAAAACTCACAACTCCACACTTCCCCATTTGATTGTCCAAATTGGATATAAAAATTTAAGGAGAATATGTAATACTTAAGGATAAAGATGCGATATAATATGTTATAGGTTATATTTGGTAAAGATAGGATATAGGATGTGATAAGAGAAGAGTAATTATTTTTGACATTTAGATGAATTCCCTATATCTGGCGGTGGGGGATATACAATACGATCAAGGGTTGGTATTGCATATTCTCCTTTTGCATTATATACTATCTGAACTCGTATATCTTGGGCAAACAAACATGAGATATAGGGAGACAAGAAAACATGTGAGGCCCACCTCATATTATATTCGGTCTCACCCTCATATCCGCCCCTTATATACGGTAAACAAACGGGGCCTAAATCATAATTTTAAAATTAAGCCAAGTAGAGCCTTAGATTTTAAATAATCCTAGGTACTCATACTTAATTTTCTTGAATTTATTCTGAATGAGAATTTGTGATTGTAATTGAATTTGTATGATATGAAATTTATGTATTGAATAAATTTGAATCAGAAAATAAAAATTTAAAATAATTTATAAATTAATAATGATGGATTCATTAGTATTACTCTTAGATTTTATCAAATGCAACTAACTTTAACTCAGCATAGGCTATGTGTTGAGTTATTGATGTGACACAAATTATATACTAAAATTTGGATATTATAAATTTTTTAGAAACATGTCAAAATGGACTACATAATAATAATAATAATAATAATAATAATAAAATACAACCCCAAAACAAAAATTTTCAACTGTCATACTTAATTAAAAATTAATTTATTGAGGCGGATGTGAATGTTTAAGCAATCTTTTGTCTTTATTTTTGAATATTTTAAAAAAATTGCAACATTGTATTTATTTCGAATGGGACTCTTATCGTATGAGATGGATGCTACTGTATTCTATGCACTTCATTATTAAAAGTAAATAAATATAAAAATCCGATAGTAGTAATAATATGTGGACAAATCTTTTAGGTTTTGGGACTGGACATGTACGTTGACTAAATACTATGGTTGTATGGTTTTATTAGGGAATGAATCACATCAGATAAGGATATTGTAGCCCAACGGGGGCAGGCATGAAGTGTAATTGATGTAAAACTTGACAATTATGCATACCTAACGTGCTATTTTAATATTTTTTTAATTTTTTAATTAAAATATACGATAAAAAAATTTAGGCATTATTTGACATAAACTAAATAAATACACTTATTTAGATATAAGAAATTGCACTTTTGGTGATCTTTTTTAGCAACGACATCAATTTTTTATAGCTAAAGGTATATTTTTGGCAACACAGTGATCAATTTCCTTTGTAAAAGTAGACTTTTAACAACGTAATTTATTACCGTCACTAAAAAACATAACATTCATTAGGTGCCAAAATTATTGATTGGCACTAAAATTTCGAAACTTTTAGCGACTAGGGTTATTTTTTGGCAACACGATAAGTGTTGATATTAGTTTGTTTACTTTTGGTGACAATAAGTTAGCATGGGTAAAAAATTAAACATTTAGCGACAACAAAACTATTCGTCGACAAAAAATTTGTTAATGAAGCATGATGGTTTTGTGATTTGTGTTTTATTATAACTTTTGAAAGGGGTTTTGGATTTTCTTTAATTGACCATATAACTTGAGAGAATGTTTGGGCTTGTTGGATTCATTTTGGAGTTGACCTTGATGATCCAAACAGTTTACTTTTTAAACTTATTAGGTAGAATAGTCATGGGAAAAATTAAGATGATCGAATATGGGTAAAAAAAAATTATATGTTTGAATTACATTTTTTTTAAAAAAATGAACGATAACTATAATTTCAAAAATAACCATTCATTTTTTGTAAAAAAACACTATGGTACACACTTCAAATGGCGTGTACCATATGCATCTTATAATTAAATAAAAAAACGACATTATTTTATACTTTCTGAGTCATAACTACAAAAAAAATAAAAAAATTGTCATACAAAACACAACATTAGGCATAACTAAAGAAGAAAATTGGTAATAACTAAAGAAAAACATGACATAAATAGGAGTGCTTATCGTGTACCCCTTTGAAGGGTATGTATGCTGGAATTTTCCATTTTTGTAATACAAATATATTTTAAACATATAGTTACCGATAATCTAATCAATAAATCATAAAGAATTTAAATTTGAAACGAATGGTTCGGATTTTCCAGGTCAATCTTAAAATGGGCACACTAAGCCTAAATACCCTCTAAAGTTGAGAGGACCAAAATCAAAAAAATTTAAATTTTTTCCAAAGTTACGGTGGCCATATTTGATTTGATTTTCTAAAATTTGTTTCAGATTCTTTTTTTTTTTTTTTTTAAGACTAAAACCTAGTTTCGTTAAAAAATTTTAAAAAATAAAAATATCTATCAATTTTATATAATTAATTTCTAAAAAATTTAAAAGTAAAAACTAAAAAACAGAACTCGAAACCAAATGGGGACCTTAATTTTTTAATTTCCCTCCTAAATTCCCCTATTTTTTTGCTGGTACCAAGGGCAAACACCTCATCTCTCTCCACGATGTTTACCTTGCACAACACAACCGTTCTCTTACGATTGAAAGTTCTTTACCTCTCACAATCGCACGCCCGCACGTACATTTGTCGACCGTCGAGTTTCGCCATTTGTCGTTGCTATGCTACACCATCACTGCTTCATTCTCGCTCGGTAGGTTCGTCCCCTCTTTGCTCTGCTTCTCTCTCTCTCTCTCTCTCTGGTTCTCTATCTATTTTGTATTTCTTTCGATTTTTAGTTATTTATTTTATTGTCAAGGGTTCCTAGAATCTTTTTTTTTTTTTTGTATCAATTAATCTGGAGATCTAAAATTAACTTTGGCAGTAGAAATAATTGAAATAACATTTCTTCCATATTGAAATTCACTTCTTTTGCACATTTGGTTAAAGTTCTTAATTGTTTGAATGCATGTAGGATTCAATTACATGGCTTCAAAAAAAATATTCATATTTAGGAATCTGTTGCTCCACTCGGCAATTACCTAAATAAGCTATGCTAGGAAGAAGTTTTTGTCAGAAATTGCTCATCATGATAACAAGGCCAATAACATTCTGATAATATGTTTTGTTGTCTACTGCTCTACCTTCTGTTTTTGTTTAAAATCCTTGTCTGATTATTTTAGGATGTACATTGTGTGCTTCCTAAATTTTGAAATGCACTGGCACTAGTTTTAATGCTAGACCCTTTGGATTCAATGAAGTGGTCAATTCCATGAAACAAATCCCATCCCCAATAATAATATAAACTCACCAAAATGTCTGTAACTTTGAATATGATAATCCCCTTGGAAAACTAGTGTAATTGACAATAACTACACAATCAAAACAAATATATATATATATATATATTTAGACCATCTGGAAAGAGGCTATATCCATGAACCATTCTGGTAGAGATTTTTCATCAAATGAAATAATTACTGCATAGAATTTAAAATGGGAGTTGCATCCCCCCCGGCCCCAAAAAAAATAAACTATTCCCTAGCCTATCAAAACCACGAGCATCGATTTGTAATGAAGGAAGCAACCTCCAATTCTCTGGCACAACTGCTAAGATATCGTTTAGTGCCATCTAATAAACTATTCTCTAGGTTATTCACCACGATGGAAGCATCAATTTGTCTATGAATTGGTTGGCTTTGAGTGATGGTCATCTTGTAATTCAATTTGGTTCCCATTATTGATTTCTCAAGGTCTTGATTGTTTAGGAAATTTCTTATTTGGATTTTTACTCCCTACTTATAATGATGGTGTGATGGTGTCAAGCCCACCATCATTATGACTAGGGAGTGAAAAATAAGGTGGTGTCCATAGGTGGACTCCATCAATATTCGGTACACTATTCTTTTGATAATATGCATAAATTGTATCAATGAACTATCAAACTAGAAAGGAGAAGCTACCAAGTAGCACTTGATTCACAAGAACAATCTGTCTTTACTAGGCATTTCAATGGTAAGTGAGGGATGAATTATGGCAGTGTTGTTTGCACAAATTTGTTTCCTTATCTAAACATTGAAATTATGACAAGATGTACTGTTGATATCAGGAAACCGAATAGGAACTAACATGCTCAAATGTTTTAGCATTTCCATATTGATATTAACCTGCCATTCTTGTTTCTTTTACCATATGACTATATTAGTGGTAAACTATTTTTCTGCTATGTATTATAATAATAAAACAAAAGCCAACAATTTCTTTCATATTAAATTCTTCATGAGATGTTCATAGTGCCAACATGTTTTGTTTATCTTAGAACTTGAAATATTAATTTTTGAAGTCATTTACTAAAAAAAGTAAAATATTTGTTCAGCGATGTAGTCTCAAAATGGTTTTTATTAATAAAATTTTGTTTCATAGTCAGATTTAAATAGACCATCAGCTTTAGGTATGGGTCTGTAATCTTAAACCACTTTTAGGTGGTTAGAATTATTTTCTTTCTCCTTTTCTTTTTCTTTTTCTTTTTGCCTGCACAGTTGATTTTATATGGTCATTGATATTATTGTGTATTATTTTCGTTGAAGGCTTGGACTGTTGCATCATTGCACCTGTGGGAACTCACAAAACCCTCTTTCTTGAAAGCCATGAGGTGGCGTTTTCTAGATCCATGACTGATAAGTCCAAGGCCTGACCTAAGTTTGGACATGATTTATATCATTCTACTTAAACTCATAATGTAATTTTAAATTTTCATTATTGACAATATTAATAATCAGAACTTGCATCTTTTTTGCCTTCTTAAATGTAGGTTGTTGAAGATGGATATTATGATCTTGCGCAAGTGCTGATTGGATATGAGTAGTAGGCTTATTCACTTGCATATTCACCTGGATATCGTTCAAATTGGGATTGACTTAGTTTTGTACTTTAGTTTCACTTTTAAGTATTGTTGTGTATAAAGTTAAATTTTGAATTGTAAGAACGCGTGTCGACTATTGTTGTTATTATAAATAGAAATATATATTTTTTGATGTTAATGAATTGATGTATGTGAATTGTTGAATAGATGCGTGTGGATATTGAAAAGTAATATGTTCTTTGTGATAGTAGTTTTTGTCATTCCAAATACCAAATTATTATTTTTTCACAAAAATTAAATATTTTACCGACGCAACTGTATGTCACTGAAAGTCTACTTTTGCCGATTGATATTACATTGTCAAAAGTCTCATTTTTGCCGATGCAATTTGGGTCGGCAAAAGTGTCACATAATCATCTTATTTGAACCATTTTTGTCAACGTAAAAGCTAAAATGGCGACGATTCACTACAACAAAATGCACTTTTAGCGACCAAAATTTGCAACTAAAAAGAATTTAGTCGCCAAAAGTTGTGGAATAGGTGACTAAAAAATTTTATAGTTAGCAAAAGTACAATATTTAGCTGTTAATTTTTTTTAATCGGGGTATATTGATTATTGGGGACTAAAAAAAATGTAGTCGCTAAAAATACCAGAATTGGCCACAAAAAAAAATATTTTAGTTGCCGTATATTGAGTTTTGGTTACTAAAACTATTTAGTCGCCGAATGTAAATAAAAAATTATTTTTTATCTTTGGTGACTGTCGCCAAAAACATATTGGCTACAAAAACCATTTAGTCGCTGAATGGAAAATAAAAAATTATTTTTTATCTTTAGCGACCAAAAGTTTGGTCGCCAAAAAATTAAAATATTTGGAGGGAGACATTTCAAATTTTGGAGGGATTTATAAAATTAATTGGCTACGAAAAATATTTAGTTGCTAATGGTGTAATATATCGATATAACAAAACAATTCTATTTTTTTTTTCCTGATGAGACTTCTATCCCTTTGTCAAAATATTAACCATTAGATTGAATTCAATTTAAGGGCTCACAATGTCTCACTCTTTATTTGGTCCAAAATATAGACCATTTTCAGCACACACACTCATCTCTTTCTTTCTGATTTCAAATTTTGAAAGTAGACCCTCTCTCTCTCTCTCGGACGTGGTTCTCTGTCGGAACCCAACCCTTGCCGGCGACCGAACCCCAAACCCCTTATTAGTCTCTTTGTCTTCTCTCTTCCTCCATCTCTCTCTCTCTGCCATCCCAATCGTCCTTGATAGTGGCAGCCCCAAAGCCCCTTCAATATTGACGAAGACCGAATGGAGCCGCAACAAAAGAGATCAAATAGATAGAAGATTCAGAGATAGGAGTCGAAATAAAATAGAGAGATTCAAAGATAAGAGTCGAAAATGTATGTATATATATGCATTTATATGTATTATGTGTGTGCATTTGTGTGTATTTACTATAAGAAATGGTTTTGGAAAAAGCAGAATTTTTCCTCAACTTTGGTCTAATTTTTAGGTGGGACCCGTGTGTCAAAGATGGCGGGTCTAAGTGGTAACGCGTTGTATGCCGCGTTGTGATTCATGTAGTATATTTGGTTGCTTAAATCCATTATCAGGTGAATGGAAAATTGAAGCCAAAGTGAGCTCCATAGAAATGGAGTTTTTGGTGAAAATTCCTTAAGGTTTGAATTAAAGGCTTGTCCCACATTGGTTTGGTAGGAAAACTTTTATGGGTTTATAAAGCTTGGGTTTGCAACTTGAGGAGGGCCTCAAGGGGAATCCAAGTTTTGTGGAAATGCGATGTTTATGGGCAAAGTGGGCTAGACCCATTAGACTCAAAATAAACACGTGCGTGCCGCAGCCGTTCGGTCGGCTGGGCTGGGCTTGGGCGCGGGTGCATGGTGTGAGGTTAGGTTGGGCTTGTCCGGCCCAATGCTTATCTTTTTTGAGCCAAAAAATTTTTGGATTTTATTTTTCTAAAATTAAATTCTTACTTTTTTTTTAGAATTTGAATTTTGAAATTAATTCCAAATAATGTCCAGATTATTCTTCCACCCAAACAGGTCCATATCTGTCTAATTAAATCGAACAATTTCCGTATCTATTCGAAATTAAACCCAAACAGGTTTATATCTGTTAAAATTTAAACCAAACAGGTATTATACCACTTTAAACAGGTTTGTACCTGTTTAATTCAAACTGAACAGCCACAAATTCTCCTATAAATAGATAGACCCTCATTTGGATTTTGCACTCTAATTTTCGTTCTTGTTGCTGTCATTGCTCTCTGCATTTTGCTGTATTTATTTTTTCGTGAGAAAGTGTATAAACACAAAATGTGTTCGTTGTGCAAACAGTTTGTAGTATCGCTACTGTTTTTTGTTGATCATTTTATCCTGGGAGATAGACGTCCACAATCTGAAAGCACCATGGAGAGAACGAATCTGTCTTAAGGACACAGTGTTAAATACTGGACTTAATCAAAATTTTGTTCAATAAATACATAAGATTAGTAATTAATTTACTTTCTGTTTTTATTTATTTTTATCAGATATTGATTTTGTTTTTGTAACAAAATAAGAACCTATTGTTTTATTTTATTTTCTTTACTGGTTTGATTTTTGTAATCAATAGTCTCTCTTCTTCTTTATTTCTTCTGTTTGTTGTTAAGTACACAAACCGTATTTATTCTTAATACAGTGAAAATTGTCCAACAATCTTAAGACAGATTAATTTTTGGTGTCTTCATTGTATTTATTTTCTGTGTTTTTTACAAAGTGATATTCTGGTTGAAAAATACAAATAGTAGTTATATACTGGTTGATAAATAGAAGAAATATACTGTTTATTTTCTTTGACATATAGTAGTAGTAGTATAATGTTGTCATTAACAATTTCAAAATATTAATTTGTGTAGCAGTGTTACAGAAAATTATTGTGCAGTATTTTATTTTCCTGGTTTTAGTAACTAGAAAAATAAAATTATTTTGTGTTATAATTTATTTTTTGGTTTGAGTAACTGAAAAATTAATTTGCATTTTGGTTTTTCTGATTTTTGTAATAAGATATTATGGTTACTGCAATTGAAAGTGGTACTTTAATTGTTACACCGACTCCGGTCCCTATCCAGAACCATGTTTAAGTTTCCATAAATCATGGAGAAAAATCGAAAAATTTAATGGCACCGAGTTTAAGAGATGGCAACAGAAAATGCTGTTCTATCTTATAACTTCAAATCTAGCCCGGTTTCTCTGTGAAGAGGCTCCAGTACTAAAAGAGGATGAAAATGATCGGCAAGTTGTTACTGTTGTAGATGGCTGGAAACATTTTGATTTTCTATGTAGAAACTACATCCTCAATAGCTTAGACAACATGTTGTATAATGTTTACAACCCTCTGAAAACAACAAAGAATTGTGGGATTCTTTGGAGAAAAAATATAAGATAGAGGATGTTGATACAAAGAAATTTGTTGTCGGTAAATTTCTGAACTTTGTTATGGTAGACTCCTAAGCGGTAATTTCTCAAGTTCAAAGTTTTCAATTAATTTTGCATGATATTCATGCTGAGGGTATGTCTCTGAGCGAGTCTTTCCAAGTCTTTGCGTTAGTGGAAAAATTACCACCGGCTTGGAAAGATTTCAAAAATTATTTAAAACATAAACAAAAAAGAGATGACCATGGATGAACTTATTGTAAGACTAAGAATTGATGAAGATAACCGTAAGGCTGAAAAGTGGAATGGTAAAAATCTCATTGAATCCAAGGCTAATGTAGTTGAACAGGTGCCCAAATCACATAACAAAAAGAGGAAGTTTGCTAGAGATGGTCCTAAATAAGGCGACAACAATGACAATAAAAAGTTTAAAGGTAAATGCTACAACTGTGGCAAGACCGGGCATCGTGCCTCTGATTACTGACGCCTTAAGAAAGATTGTGAAAGTACAAGTAAGAAGACTACCAATCAAGCCAATGTGACAGAAGTTGAGCATATTTCTAATGAGGTAAATAATATAAATCTCTCAGCTGTGATCTCTGAGGCTAATTATGTTGGAAATCCCAAGAAATTATGGGTTGACACAAGAGCAACTCGTCACATTTGCGCGGACAAGAAAATGTTCACTACATATAATGAAGCTGCAAATAGTGAACAAATTTTCAGGGGAAATTCTTCTACTTCTATTGTGGCTGGACAAGGAAAAGTCATTTTGAAGATGACATCTGGGAAGGAACTTACCCTCAACAATACCAGACATTCGAAAGAATTTAGTTTATGGTTCTTTGTTAAGTAAGAATGGTTTTAGGCTTGTTTTTGAGTTTGATAAATTTGTATTAACAAAGAATGGTATGCATGTGGGTAAGGGATACATGAGCGATGGTCTTTTTAAATTAAATATAATGACTGTTGTACTAAAAGTTGCTATTAATAAGAATAACACATCTTTTTCTTATATTCTTGAGTCAAATTTATGGCATGGTAGATTAAGACTTGTAAATTTTGATGCTTCATGTAGACTAATTGGTTTACATTATATACCAAAGTTTGAAATTGATCCTAATCACAAATGTGAGATTTGTGTAAAAGTGAAACTAATTAAGGCTCTATTTAAATCAGTTGAAAGAAAAATCAAACCTCTAAAATTAATTCATACTGATGTAAATGATCTTTAATTTGCTTAGACTAGATGAGGCAACAAATATTTCATAACATTTATCGATGATTGCACAAGATATTATTATGTATATTTACTTAGAAGTAAAAATAAAACCTTGGAAATGTTTAAACTCAACAAAACTGAATTTGAAAATCAACTTGGTAAAACCATTAAACTACAGCATGTCATTATTCACTAAACTACAGCACCCTGTTCTCCACAACAAATAGAATTGCTGAAAGGAAGAATAGAACCCTTAAAGAAATGATGAATACCATGTTACCAAGTTCAAGCTTACCGCAAAACTTGTGGGGGGAAACAATATTGTCTTCTAATTATGTTCTTAACAAAATACCCCACAAGAAAACCAACAGTACTCCTTATGAATTGTGAAAATGTCGACCACCTTCCTTCAAATACTTAAAAATGTGGGGGTGTTTTGCAAATGTTACAATTTAGGTTCCTAAAAAGACAAAGATAAGACCAAAAACAGTGGATTGTGTGTTTATT